AGTCAGAACAATCCATGCCAGTGGCACAGCCCAGGCCAGCAGCGGGGCCCGGATACGCGCTGTGGAGTGTCTGCTGACAGCACCATGTTGCTCAAGGACACGCCAGGGTGCGGGACAGGAGTTCCATGCACAGTTTTCAGGGCTGAGGTGCAGGACGTTGGTGGCAAATGGGAAGAACGGTGCTGGCTGGACAGCAGTTAGTTGTTTTGGCCTCATTTCATCTATGAGAAGTCACGTGAGGGGAAAATTTAAGAGTCATTATAAAAAATACACGGCTACTAGTATCTTTAAGACAATCACGAAGGAGACGCTACTGAAGAAAAGTAAGATCCCTAAGCATCATCAAAATGGCAAAATGCTGCCTGCTTTTGAAAGCGGAAAAGCCTCCATTCCTCAGTGTGAACGTGGATGCGAAGGCTCTGCTGAAATGCAGTTTGTGGTGAAGCCATCTCACACCCACACGGTGCAGGAAAGATCCAACGCCATCATCCGTGACAGCGATCCACAGTCTCGTCTCTCATGACTATATTTACAAATATACATTTGGCAGCTTCACGAGGCTGCAGAAACCCAAAGTCAGGGTGACCCTTGAGGCTGCACAGACATGCGAAGGGACCAGGCACCACCTCACCCTGGGCCGAACTCGGTGGGAGGTGGAGGCCCCTGAAGTGGAGACAGCCCTGCTGTCAATCTCTCAGGAAAGGGGTGGGGCCTCTGGCAGGAAATCAGAGCTGGACCTGGGGCCCTGGGTAAAGGGTCTGTCTAGTTTTGAGCTCCAGAGAGGTGGCACTCAGGTAAAGGCAAGCTAGCAGCGAGGAGATGGGTCCTGAAAAGCCAACAGAGCAAGATGGGCCCTTCTGGACAGATTTTTGGCTATAAGCGTTGGTGTTCCCATCCATGTGGTCCTTCCCTAAGTGGAGCTGAGTGGCTCCTGCTTGTTCCTACCTGAACTGTGGGCATGGAGGGAGGGAGGTGCGGGGTTCGGGGTCCGGCAGTTACCAGTCATTGGATGGAGAAAATAAATCAAGAATACCCTAACAGCACACAGCAGAAGCCACCTCGATTGGGTCCTACTCGAAGGACTTGGCAAATATTAATTCATTCACATCTCATGACAGCCCCAGGAGAGAGGCATTTCATAGGTATATTTTACAGATGATGAAACTGAGGCACAGAGAGGTTCAAGAGTCCCCCAAATCCCAAGGCGGTGAGTGAAGGAGCTGGGCAGGAACTCAGGCACCTGCACCTGCCCACAGGCACAGGCGACGGGAATGCCCTGGATATGCCCAAGCTCAGAGCCGGGGCCACTGTGTTGCCTTCACCAGGGAAGTAAGACATTTGAGCTGGTACAGGTTTGACCTGTCACCCACAGAGCCAGCAAAGGACATGTAAAAACTGCATGAGTGATGATAAAATTAGCAAGAGAGTGGCAAAGTTTTTCACATGTTCAGACAATTGTCCCTTAGAAATGGAGAATTGGGCAAACTGTATGCCAGGTCAGTGTGAGTAATGTCAGGTCAAAATCCTGTCATCAGGCTGGGCAGGGTGGCTCACACCTGTAATCTCAGCACTTTGGGAGTCAGTGTAAGTAATGTCAGGTCAAAATCCTGTCATCAGGCCAGGCGCGGTGGCTCACACCTGTAATCCCAGCACTTTGGGAGGCTGAGGCGGGCAGATCACAAGGTCAGGAGTTTGACACCAGCCTGACCTACATGGTAAAGCCCCGTCTCTATTAAAACTACAAAAATTAGCTGGGCATAGTGGTGCACACCTGTAATCCCAGCTACTCAGGAGGCTGAGGCAGGAAAATTGCTTGAAGCCGGGAGGAGGAGGTTGTGGTGAAGCCAAGATCATGCCATTGCACTCCAGCCTGGGTGACAGAGCTAGACTCCATCTCAAAAAAAAAAAAATCATGTAATTATTGAAGAGTACATCACAATGATTAAAGATGATCATTTTGATTCATTCAAGGAACTTCATACTAAAATTTAATGATGTGTTTCATATTACCAACTATTGCAGAAAAGCACAGATGTAAATTACTTAGAATGAGTGACATCAAGTGTTTGAAAGTAGACAGATGTGTCAAGGGTGACACAGGGTGTATAACTATACACTATTCTCTGACGTGGTTTAAACATTTTCTCTGGAATCTTTACATTATTAACATTATTAATGTGGTAGTGATGTCTTTTTAAAAAACTGAGAATGCAATAATCAAATCTTAATTAAGTTCTTCTGGAGCACTATGTATTCTAAACATTTCCCGAAGTGTGAAAAGAGAATTCTCTCTTCCATTCTCAAGAAAGCGGGAGCTGGAAGGGGTGTCATCACAAGGTTAGCAGCAAAGCAGGTGTCAGACTCTGCTTCTGATCGTCCCCAGAGGAACACAAGGCAGCACAAGCCAACGGCACAGAAGCTGGAGAGATCAGGGCCCTGCCTATGCACAGAAGACTCTGATGGCCAACAGCAGGTCAGGGACTCGACAGTGTCATGTCACCCGTGCTGACAGCCTTCCTTGCTGCGAATTATTCATGCCAGGCTGTTTCTTTGATCCCCAGGTAGTGCTGCTGTTGTTTTCGGGATGGGGAAGGAGCCAGTGCAAACAGCTCATAGGGCTCCCTATCCCTGCTGTTCCCTTAGGAGTTGGGGTGTGGAGCTACTGGGGAACTGCTCTGGGACCCGATGGGATGGTGGGGTGTGCTGTCCTTTCCTGGGGCCCTTGGTGGGAAGGCATGTCCCCATGTGAAGCCGACTTGTTCAGCTTGGTGGCCAACCTCCCGGGTCTGTGGCTCTGCAGTCTGAGTGCCATAGCCATTACTCCCACGACAAGCTGAGATTCTGGGGCTGGGTGCATACCACAGCCGTGAGGACGTGGGTGTGGGCAGACCCATCGTACGGATGAGGAAATGGAGGCCAGGAGCATGGAAGACATTGGTTTCAGGGCGCACAAAGCGGTTACAGCAGTGAGCACAGATCCAACCCACCGGCCTGATGGCAACACCCCAGCCTCCCAGCTGCCCCCTTGCCATCGCTCCAGTTTCCCGGGCAGGGTTCCCTGGGTTTCTCTCCCAGCACAGGGTCTATCACTCACTGTGGACTTTGGTTTGGTGGATGGAATTTGATTAACAATAGCATCAATCCCCAGAAAGGGAACCTGGAGGGCGATTTATAAGATCAGCCCACAGGGTCTCTCTTGGGTATTACTGGGCACATCTTTCTGGAAAAAATACTGATCTCTAAACCGCCTGTTTCTGTGGAGCTCTAGGGTGCTCTCCAGCCGAAATCCAGGACCATTCTCAGTAGAAGCAACAGTGAGAACCGCAGGCTCACGCCCCTGAAGCTCAAAGCAGCAGCAGCTCTAGGTTCACTTTTCCCAGTAAAGGTTTACGGCCCAAATGGAAACCCGCCTATGTTTGCAGGATTCTTGTGCCTCTGACTTGAAGAGGACCGAGCCACCCTGATATGGCCCTCTCTAGCAGGGTCTCTACCGTCCCAATACAGCACACTCCTCTGGGGTCAGAGCAGGCCTGTTCCAGTCCTCTCCTCCACGGACATGGCCATCCTATACGGTCCACTCCAGCAGGGTCTCCACCATCCCAATTCAGCCCACTCTAAGGTCATGGCCGGCCTGTTACAGCCTACTTCTCCAGGGACACGGCTGGCCCAATATAGCTCACTCCAGCCAGGACGTAACCGGCCCGATGTGGCCCACTCCACCTGGGATATGGCCTGCCCGATATGGCCCACTGCTCCAGGGACACCACGGTCTGAATACCCCCAATACAGCCCACTTCACCGGGAACATGGCTGGCCCAATACTGCCCATTCCGTTTGGGAGTGGCTGACCTGATACAGCTCACTCCTGTAGTCACAGCTGGCCTGATAGAGCCCACTGCACCTGGGCCATGGCTGCCACGATACGGCCTGCTCTAGGGTCACAGCTGGCCTCATATGACCCACCTCTCCAGGGACGTGGCTTGCCTGCTACAGCCCCCAGCAACCCCTCACAATGCCTCATCACTCCAGTGAAGAAGCCCTTGTGTGAGCGATTGCGTTCACTGATTCTGCCCAGAACTGGCCAAAATCTTTGGATAACACAGAATTTGTTTAGCAAGAAAAAGTGGTGCCCCTAAGATCTCATCTCCAAGAGCCGACCCCCAGGGAGGGTGCCCTGGGATTTCCCACACTGCCTTGCCGTTTGTGGGTCCACCATCCACATCTGGGACGAGGCACTGCCTGCCCTCAGTATTTCCCTGTGCAGAGCCTCTGGATGGCAGCACTCCCCGGCCTCTGCCCTTCTTGCCACCCTAGCGCAATGCCCACAGCCACCCTAATCATTATCTAAAGCCACTGCCTGCTTGCTCCATAGACCCTGAGAAAGTCTAAGAGTGTCCTGACTTGTTAAGACACTGCTGCAGATGCCTCTCCTGGGCACCTGCCTGTGCCTAAATGCCCTTCTCCCTCTGGCTTAGGATAGAACTGTCGCACATAACTCTGGGCCCAATGTGACGGCCCCTGCAGGACTCAGTGAATTTCTTTCTCATAAAGATTTCCCTCCCACTCTGACGACCCCAAAAACCCCGCTGCCTGGGCACTGCTCAGAGCCATCCCTGAAGGCCACAGGCTTACCTGCCCTCAGATGGCAAGTGGCCCACCAGCAGGAAGCGCTTGACCCTGTGACCACTGTGGGGATGCCCCTCAGTGCAGCAAAGTCTAACGCCACTCAGAGGAAAGAAAACTGAGTGTGCTTTCAAAGTCAGTTTGAGTCTTCAACAGTGGTGTGCATGCGTGAGGTTCATTTCTTTAGGTATCAATCATAAGGAAATGCTTAGGGATACCTTTTCAAAATTCTGCTCTAATGAAAGGGACGAATATTTAAAACTCTGCAGGTGATTCCTTCTCGGAGCGGAAGAGAGTGGCAGGCCCTGCATGGCTTGAGGTGTGGAAGGTGTGTGTACAGGAGGCCTCCTGGCCCACGGCACGCCTGGGGCACTGACCTGTTTTCCTAAGAGGGAAGTCATCTTTGGCGTCGTACATTCCCAGGACCGGGTGGTTATAGGAGGCCGACACTCCGCTCTGGGGTGGAGAACTCTGATCGAGGGAACTGTGCTGCGTTTTCCTGGAGAGAAGGCAAAGACAGATGGTTTGGTTTGCCTAGGGCACTGCCCCAGGCATGCTGCAGCTGAGAAGCCACACACATGATGATCTTTCCCTTGAAACCTCAGCCCCACCTCAAAAGATGTGCCTCTTCCCTAGGGTCAAGCTGAAATTAAACAGAAACAAACAGAATGCTCAACAAGCAAGCAAACACCCGATGCCCACATCCTCCTCTGCGGGACCACAGTGCTCAGGGCTGGGACGGGCAGAGCCTCTGGCTGTTTTCCTGGCGGACGATCTCCACCTGGCCCCGCCTTCTTAGATGGCTCCAGCCCGGTCTGTCCTCTGTCAGGGCCATCACTGGCCACTCAGACAGCCTGTCCCCAGTGGGGAGAGGCAGAGGAAGGCAGCGGGCTGTGGCGTACGGCATCAAAAGTGAGTTCACAGGCAGCCGAGATGCGGCAACAAGCACTCTAAGAACAAATGCTGGTGATGTCTGGGGCTCTCTCCACCGCCTGGAGAGAAGGAACCCATGGATGGGGCCGCCTCTCAGCAGAAAGCACCCATCTTCATCCGCACCTTCAGCTGAGCAAAACTCACCCTGGTCACTTCCTTCTCCAGGGGAGGAATAGGATGGCAGCTACTGATACCCTGTGCTCAGGGAGCTGACCTACGAAAGGGACTTCCCGTATGAACAACCAGGTGCAACTCTACACCCTCCAGAGAGCAAGACAGGAGGAGCAGGCTGCCAGGAGGAGGCCGGAGGAGGGCTGTGGGACGGGCGGATGTGGGCTGCCACCCGGACGACCGTCAGCAAGGCCTTTTTTGATGGCACTGACAGCTGAGTCTTGCTAAAAACACTGAGCTGAGTGGAATAAATTCTGTCTTTAAACTGTGTAATCTGCTTAATGACTAGAAACAAATTAGCCAACTTACTTATTTAGAATTGGTTAGACTATTTGAATACATAGTAGACCACACCAATGCACCTGGAGTTATCTGAATTAAGAATGGGAGCTCTTAAATGGGTACAGGTGTGTATTTAAATATTTGAGGGCACACCAGTGCAAAGAATGTGCTGAAGAGACTCAGACAAAACTGACTTGCAGAGGCCAGGCGCCTGGGCCATGGCTGCTGGGCTCTTCATCACCAGAGGAGCCAGAAGAGCTCAGGAAAACTGCCTAGCTTCAGGCCACGCCCCAACTCCGCCCACTGCCCAGGGCACATCTCCACCCCAAGCCGCTTTCTGCTGTTTCCTGGGGAATTCCACCACCAAGGCTGGGGCTGCAGGGCTGGGCCACGCCTATCTGCGCCCCTGTGGGAGCCTGGCCCCCTCCTGGGAGCACGTCCTCCTACAAGCCTCCCTGCTTCTCCCTGAGGTTCTGCCCATCCTCCCTCAATCTCATGAAAAGGTCTGCAGGCAACATTCTTTCTCTTCCAAAGAGTATTTTCAGACTGTTTCCTATGGGGAATGTGGTCTTGGTGATTCCAAACTTCTTCAGCACCAGCTGACAGCCTGGGACCATTTCTGCATCCACTTTTCCCTTCATAAGAAACACAGTGACTTGCACAGGCATCTCATGAGTTAAAAAGATCATTATTTACATAATAATAACTTAAATAGCTTAAATACACAGAATAAAAATTGTGATTACATAGGAATGCTAGGGTTTGCTTGCAGTGAAGCAGGAGTTGCAAAAGTCACATTCCTTTATGATCTAACAGGTCTTCTGCTACTGTTCTGATCTCTTGAGGTGCTTTCCCTGTTAAAAACTCCACTTCCTGTCAAACCTTACAACCAGCAGAGCAAGAGGCACAGGAGGGGCTCAGCCCTGCCCGCTGCCTGCCAGCGCCTCCCCACTGGACCCAAAACCTCACAGGAGGGACCTCACCTCCTGCACAGCCCGGCTCACCGCCAGGAGCACACCGTGCAGGGCCGGCCCCACCGCGCACCTGCCCACCAGACACCAGGAGAGGGTGGCCCTCACTGTCAGGGCAGCCACACGTGCCCAGCCCTGGTCACACGGCCCCAGGCCAGAGCGCACACGCATGCCCTCAGTGAAGAAGCATCCAGCAGGGAGAACAGAAGTGAAGCTCTATCCCTGCTGCAATCACACCCGCTCCTCACACAATTGCTCTCTCACACCTGCTCCTCATACAATTACTAACATCCCCACCTCACACAATTACACCTGCACCTCACAATTACACCCGCTCCTCACACAATTACTCATACCCACACTTCAATTACTCTCACACCCACACCTCACACCACATAACTGCTCTCGCACCCTCAATTACACCCGCACCTCACACAACTGCTCTAACACCCACTCCTCACACTCACATCCGCACCTCACACAATTGCTCTCACTCACGCCTGCTCCTCACACAATTACACCCACTCCTCAAGCAATAACTCATACCTGCCTCACACCCACACCTCACAATTACTCACACCCACACCTCACACCAATTACTCACAGCCGCTCCTCACACGATTACACCCACACCTCACACAATTACGCACCTCACAATTACAACCGCACCTCACACAATTACCCCACACCTCACACAATTACTCTCACATCTGTACCTCACACAATTATACTCACTCCCACACCTCACACACACTCACACCTCACACAATTACTCTCACACCCGCACCTCTCACACCTGCACCTCACAGAATCTCACACCCACACCTCACACAATTATACCCACTCCTCACACAATTACACCCGCACCTCACACAATTACACCTGCACCTCACACTCACAGCCACTCAATTCTCACACCTGCACCTCACACACCTGCACCTCAATTATACTCACGCCTGCACAATTACTCTCACACCCACTTCTCACACAATTACACTCACACCTCACAAAATTACACCTGCTACTCACAATTACTCTCACACGGGCACCTCACACTACTCTCACACCCACTCCTCACACAATTACACCTGCACCTCATGCAATTACACCCACACCACACAATTACACCTAACACAATTACACCCACACCTCACACAATTACACGGGCACCTCACAATTACACCCACTCCTCACACAATTACACCTGCACCTCAC